CAGAAAGGGAAGGGGATATATGGAGACCACCCTGAAGAAGGGAGGGGTCCTCCCCAAACCCTGACATGGGGTTGGGGAGGAGTGCAGCCACACGGCCTGCCCAGCTCACCCATTTATTGACCAGATTTGGAGAGACACTCCTTCTCTCCCATACCAGAGTAGCATTTCATATAGTAAACCTCATGGCTCCAGCAATCTCCACTGGCATGGCTCACTCTAGGCCCTCCAGATGATTAGAAAGAGCCATTATCACAATGTAAGCCAGAGCACAGCGAGCTGGGCTGTGGGGTCCACCAGAGATTGGAGAAGGGCTGCCCACTGCGTACACCTGTCGTCTCCCTCTGGGAGGCCTGGCGGGCTATGACTAATGCATTTTAAAAGGATACTGCACATTCAGTTAAAGACCCAGAGGTAAACACAAAATGTAAACAGCAGTATGGTTGCTCTGGCAGGAGGTTTTAACTGTCAGGGGGGAGGGTTCACACCACCCTTTAACAAGAAGCAGATTAGGATAAGCAGCCAGAGAGCTGAGCTCTTGGGGACTCTCACATGAATCATTACACTGGCTTCTCGGTGTGGGGAGCTTTCCGCCTCAGAGGCCATTAGTGCTGCTTGATGTTGTGATTGTGCACAATGCCCTGGACAGCCACAGCGGCTCGAGCCGTCTCCAGGGTGCAAGGAAGCCTGGGAAAGAGCCAGTCCATCACAAATGCGAGCCCTGCACATTGAGGGGGCAGAGGAAGGGCTATCAGTTTTAAGTGTTAAAGGACTTAGTGCTGGGTGCAAAATCAAAGCACACTAGTCCCCAGGGGGCTACCGGCCACAACAGCCAGGAAGGCAACTGTGAGTGCTAACAGCAGGAAGTTTAAGTGCACCCATGGCTAAGGGGCACAGTCCCTCCAACAGGTGCGGCCAGCATATGTGCAAGACACAGACCATGTATCTACATTGCCAAAATTTCTCACAAACCTGGATTTTTACCATGTACTCTCCTTTTCTGTTGTCATCTTAGGGATCCCAACTGCATATGCAACTTTGCCTACAGGGGCCAAGAGCCTGCGTACTCAGACCTTGCCGCATTCAGAATATTTAGAATATTCAAAATATTTCTGAGGATCCTCCATGAGCCCAAGAAAAAGATTTAAAGACATTTTCTAGAAAATGGGGGATGGGGCAGTGAGGGAAGACAGAATTTCCAACCCTTGGGGAGAAAAATTGGGAGCTCTGACTGTCCCCAGGTCCCAATAAGTAGGAAAAAGTTAGAACACCACTGATAAGGGCATGGCCAGACATGGTGCCCCTCCAGATACACACCCAGCTCCTGTTGTTGTAAATGAATGTGATGGGGGGGGGGCAATGTGATGCTTCAATTAGCTGATCCTCCACCTGCAAGCACTGGCACCCCATATGGGCACCAGTTTGTGTCCCAGCTGCTCCACTTCCCATTCAGCTCCTTGCTTGTGGCCTAGAAAAGCAGTGAAGATTGACCCAAAGCCTTTGGACCCTGCACCCATGTCAGAGGCCCAAAAGAAGCTCCTAGGCTCCTGGTTTTGGATTGGCTCAGCTCTGGCTATTGCAGTCATTTAAGAAGTGAATCAGCAGATAGAAGATCTTTGTCTCTCCTTCTCTCTCTCTAAATCTGCCTTTCCAATAAAAATAAATCTTTAAAAAAATGTGATGACGTGTTCAGATACAGGGGCTAACATGCAGACAATGCAGGACAGAGGACACAAGTTGGGTTCTCAACTGGTGAGACCACTGGGAAGACATCAGCTACTCTGGGACATCCCACCTACCATGATCACTGGGGCAGAGGCAGTATGAGTCTAGACAGTTACAGACAACACAGGCTCCTCGGTTAAATCTGGTGTCAAGAGCCCAGCAATCTGTGAAAGACTCTTTAGGGACAGCTGGGGAAAGGCAGGCAATGGGTCAGCTAATAGAGCCCATTATGCAATGACTTCCAATTTTGTGAAGATAGTTTTTTGTGGTTATACAGAAATGTGTTCTTTTTGAGTTGTGAAAGAGCTTGGGGGCTAAATGTCAGACCATCTCTAATTCACCTTTGTATATTGCAAGGAAAAAAGCACATGAAGCAAACACAGCAGAACGTTAACAACTTTGCCCAGGGATAGTGCCAAGCCCACAGGTGCACGGTGCTGGCCCTGTGTGCTATCACGTCTACATGCTTCTAACTACCAGTGAACAGAGGGATATTTCTGTCCACTAATGTCCCTGAGCATGTGTGAGTATGTGTGTGTGCTTTCCTCCACTGCTTCCCCAGGCCACAAGCAGGGAGCCGGAAGAAAAGTAGGGCAGCTGGGATACAAACCGGTGCCCATATTGGATCCCGGCGCATGCAAGGAAAACTTTAGCTACTAGGCTATCATGTTTGGGTCCCCATGTGTGTTTTAAATTTCAAAACATCAGCTACCAAAAGGAAAAATGACAGCAACCTAGGCAGTGCAAATGCGACGCTAAAGGCTCACAGTGAAGAAGCAGTTATGAGCAAACCTCTCACAACCTCCAGGACAAAAGCAGGAAACACACAGCTCATGGCCAGCACTGTGCATCTTAAGGAATGGCTTGAGACCTCAAATGCACTGTAAGTGACTTCACATGAAGACATGATCACATGTAGAGAAGGAAGGGCGAGACAAGTTAATGCCTTGAGTGTGTGAGCTCACGTGAGAAAGAACACAGCTTGAAACCTATAAAGACAACCTAAATTTAAAAGAATACAATATAAGCAATTCACTAATAATTTTAATAATATAAGATATTACTTAGCAAAGTACAAGTATTGTAACTCTTTAACAGTTGATGATGCTCACTCATTGTTCAAAGAGCCTACCCAGGAACCATCAAACCCACTGGCCAGGTTTTTACATCTACTCACTCAAAACTAGCAAATATCCAGTCTCAGCTTTCAGGGAGATCTGAGTGGTCAGCTAGCAAATGACCCATCTGAAACCCAAATTCTTGTCCTTCAAGAGCATCCAGCATTGGAAACTTCCGAAGTCATGTAAATGAGGACTTCAGTGCCCCCCAATGCTGCGGCCCTATTTTGCTCCTGGGTGAAGGACAAGCCCTTAGTTTCCTCACCTACTCAAAGTGGGCCATGGCTGCCTCTTCACCAAGTCCAGGCTGAGTCCGAGGACATGACATTGGGTTCCTGCACAGTGCCAACCAACCAGCAAGCACGCCAGTACCAGCCTGGGAACCACTTCTACCAAGAGCCCAGAACCTGGCTCAGCTACAAGCTGTCTAACTCCCTAGTGCAGCACTATTAACCTTGTACTTTTGAGGCTTCCTCGTCTGCAGAGCCACAAGCATAGCTGCTGCATGGAGCTCCTGGGAGGACGGTGGCAGCTGTGCCAATTACATGTGGCACACCAACTTAGAGGCTGAGTTTCCTAGTCACCCTCCTTACACTCCACCTGTAAAAAGGTATCCGGTCAAGTCCACAGCGGTCTGCCGGTCCCAACTGGAGCTGCGGGTGAAAGCTAATGCTGCTTTGCCCTCTCATTCCCGACTGCCTGGGTCACAGCACCCAGAAGTTCCCTAACCCCTTCCTTGCACCCTTGGCTCTATCCTGACCCTAATGCTAAGGTTTGGTGCACAGCCCTGGCCCTGCATTTCCAGCACAGCTCGGCCTTGGACACCTCCAAGCGCAAGTTTCTGCAACCTTGCATCTCAGAGTGGACTTTTCCTATGAGGTGCCAGGTAGTCATTCTGCATCACATTGGCATCCAACGGAGACTTTCCCTGCCTGTCCTAACTCTGATACCAGCCTTGCCCTCCACACTCAACTTTCATTCAGTCTGGAATGGCCCTATTCTACTGGTCTGCACAGTCTTTGTGACAATCAGAGAAAGCACCTTCCCAGAGGCCTGGAGAGATGCTTGACAAGCCCAGGACACCTTATAAAAGGGCAAAAAACAGTGTCCCCTTCTCCCAGGTTGGCAGCCTGTTACAACACACCACAGTCAAGTTCACTGATTGGGCAGCTGCCCCAGACCCAGGTTTCTGAGCCCACAGTCTCACCAAGTCTGCCAAGATAAGACTGGAGTAAGCAGAATGCCTGGGAAACCACTACAACACAGGGAATGGCAATTGTTTTGTCCTCTTGGGAAAGGGCTGGGGACAGGAAGAGAGGCCTTCCAGACAGAGGAACAAGCATAAGCAAAGGCAAGCAGCAGCAACCTGCAGCACACAGAGCTGTCAGTGGATGGGGAAGTAGGGGATGCCAGGAGAGCAGCAGACAGCCAGGGAGCTGGGCGCCCAAGCGGGCAGGCCCTCCTGCAAACACTTCTCACATATTGATTGCCAGGCGCTTGCTATGTGCTGTGCTAGGCCCTGGGAAATAATGAATGAAATGTAATTCTAGTCACCAGCACGGGAGAGGAAGACCTCCAAAGCACCAAGTCAAGCACTCTGCTGGAACCATGCCTAAGGCCCATCCTCCCACACTTGCCTCCCCGCCAACACTGTGGACCCGCAGTGACCACAGGAGACCTGCAGGGGGTGGGCAGCAGGTGATGGAGGATACCAGGACCCAGAGAGCAGGGCATGGCCTTCAAGGATGGCCCCCTAAGCACTTGTCCATGTTTGGGTAAGGCTGGAGAGGGGAGGAGTATGGCAGGGGTGGGGGTCTGTGAGGACCAGGGCCCGAGGGACACAGGTGTACCCGTTCTCAGCAGGTGTGGCTTCCCCTGGGTTGGCTCCCCGCACTTCACCTAGGTGAGCCTTGTGAAATCGGCCCAGGTGAAGGACAGGTCCATTCACTCCCCTAGGCAGACTGGAGCCCGAGACTCAGGCTGTACCAGCTGTCAACCTGTGGGCAAGGACGGGGGCTCCACAGGTGGCACCCAGGGCTTATAGATGACCTTCCTCCCTATCCCCCCCGCTCCCTGCAGGTGACCCTAACTCTGCACACCTGAGTATGGAAAGTGCTTGCCACACACTCCACAAGGTCATAGGCAAACAAAGACACATACCTGGCTCCAAAGATGTCCTTTTTGGCGAGATCAATTCCAGAAACAACCTTTACTCGGAGAATACGGGACTCTCCCTGTTGAAAGAGAAGTAGACAAGGGTAAAAACCTACTCTCAGTGGACCAGTCTCTCCCACCCAGTGTCAGCGATTGCTATTCAGTCCAACCTGAATCAAGTGCTGGGAACTCTTCCTTACACCTACATTCTAGTTCTCAAATTCTGTGATTCTGGAAACTTCCAATACCCACATTAAGAAAACACAGACTTTATTCAAACTAGATTCCTGAGAGCAAAATAACTTTTCAAATTATATTTGTTTCCATCTTTTGTTTCAAAACCAGAGAGAAAGTGAGATGTCTTGCCTCCACTCGTTCATTCTCCACATGCCTGCCGTAGCTGGGCAGGCCCGCGATGGGGCCAGGAGCCAGAAACTCATTCCAGGTTTCACACACAGGTGGCAGGAGTCCAGATACTTGAAATCACCTGCTGTCTCTCAGTGCATGCATTATTAGCAGGTAAAACTCAAAACCAAATCCTCCCACCGGGGCAGCTCTCAGCCTCTGCTGCTGCCTGCCCCCATCCCTGACATTTGAAGTATTTCCCAGGTTGGCCAAGAACATCACTACTCACCTGTAACAACCTAGATAAATGTCCAAGTGCAGTGAAACACCACATATGACAAATAGTTTGAGGTTTATCTTTTTTTTTTTTTCTACCAGATATAGGAAAGAATTTTGTATAGCAAACTATTACTTCCAAATTACTGTGTTTTTCAAAACAATTGCATCAGCAAACAAAAAAAGAGTTATTTAGTTCCAGTAGGTTATAAAAAACATCATCCCAAATGGAAATCACTCCAAACTGCCTCAGAAATCTGACCAAGGTTCACTCATTCATTTGTCCATTTCATCATTTAGTTCCACACCTAAGCAGCTCTAATGCATTGAACTAGGTGCCACGAAATACAGGAATGTGCTCCAGGGACTGCTGAAGATGACAGAGCACCAGGGCAGGACCCTGAGACAGCACTATGCCAGCAGACATGGGTTAGTCAGAATGTTACTTAAAAAGCTAAGACCAGGATTGGCCAGATGACTCAGGTGGAGGGAGGGCAAAAGTCCAGGATGAGCCTCAAGTTTCCAGCTTAAGTTACTGTTTGGCATAAACTGAAACAGAGAATGGAAACCAGAATGACTTTCAAACAACTGGATGGGAAAACGAGATGACTAAATGAATAACTGGAAGAAACATCTGGGCTGAGCTGTAGATTTGGGAATTATCAGTATGCAGCTGGTGGTTACAGTCCAGGGTTCAAAGAAAGTTACCTAAGAGTGAGAGAACAGCCAGAATGGAACCCTAAAGATTCCAAGCACTGGGCAGCGGGGCTGGAGTGATGAGTCCCGCGTTGTGGTGTAGTGTGTAAAGCTCCCACATGCAGCACCGGCAGTTCATGTGGGTGCGGGACAGAGGCTTGGCTGCTCCTTTTCTGATCTAGCTTCCTGATAATAGACCTGGGAAAGCAGCAGAGGATGGTCCAAATGCTTGGGCCCCTGCACTTAGGGGAGACTGCAATGAAGCTTCTAGCATCTGGCTTTGACCTGGTCCAGCCCTGGCCATTTGGAGTGTGAACAAGCAGGTGGAAGATTTTTCTGTGTATGTGTCTTCCACTCTATAACTTTTCCAAACACATACATACATCTTTAAAAAAAAAAAAAAAGAGTGGGGTTATGTGAAACTCTTACATAGTAAGTGAAGGTCTACAGGAGGAAATGAAAACTTAATGATTTGGTCACTGCAAAATGCAACACTGAGGACCCAGATGATAGATCCATGCCCATCAGCCACACAGATCCCACACACACATGCATGTAATCAGAATGCATGCTTGAGATAACTCATACTCCAGGATTACCCCTGGCCCAAGGCTGTCCATGTGCAGCCTCACTGGGTAACGCAGACACACTGAAGAGGACTTCTTCGTGCTGCCAACCATCCCCTCACCAGCACAGCCTGCAAGCACTCAAGCTGGACAGAGTTGAATGCACTGGGCCATGTTCAAGGCAGGATTCAAACGCACAAAACAACATCAGTTGGATTAGCGGTGCATTTGAGTGTTCGTAGAAATGCCTGCTCACAGCGTTGTCCCCAGCTCCCCTCACTGTCGGGGTCCGGCCTGACCTAGCTCCTGCACACTCAAAGGCCAGCAGCAAGTCCAGAATTCTTTCTTTAGGGAGGCTGAAGGTTTCTCACAGCAAACAATACCCTGCAGCAAATCCCAGGCCCTGCTCAGCTCTGGCATTTCTTTTTACAAGTAGATCAAAACTCCACAGTGCCCCTGTAGAGAGTCCTCTGCAACACCCTGGGGCCCACACCACACAAGATGGCCAAGAGTCCTCAGCTGCCTCAGAGGCAATGAGGAACCGCCCAGAAGCAGACAGACAAGAGGAGGCTATGGTCAGGGAAGAGCGAGCTTCGTTCTGTTGTCCCCTTCCCTTTCGCACTTGCCCCACCATGAATACCGCAGTATTCTCCCAGTTGCTGCTGTGTTGGGGCACAGGGGCAAAAGACCCATGGAGCCACAGAACAGGGATCCTCTGAGGGCAAAGAGCGGCACACCAGGCCAGCCTCAGGGGGCTCATGGAGCCAGTGTGCGGTGTGGCAAATGATGACCCGGAGGTGGCCTGAGGAACCTGCTCTCAACCAGTTCCAACCACAGCAGCAGCAGTTCAGTCACCACTGTCCTGTGAGGTCACTAACCTAGGGAGACGAGGAAAGGCCATGTGTGGGATGCAAACCAACGTACGCACAGAGTCATATGCAAGTCACATAGTGGGAGAATTCTGGTAGGAAGTTCTCCCTGCAGCGGGGAATCCTGAAGAGAGCCCGGGGCTGACAAGCTTTTAACCAGGGGCGGAATCAAACCTTCGCTGGAGGTGGAGGAATCAATCAGCTGAGCCCAGAAGCCCAGCTGGTGGCTGCACTTGCTGCAGCTTACAGCCACTCTGCTCTGACATCAAAGGCCTACGTTCCAGGAGCAGGCAAAAAAAAAAAAAAAATACTGGGATAAATGAAAGGATGACCAGACAATCTTCTCCTGGAAATGAATTTATTCATGTAGCAAATATGAGCACCTGAGCTATGACCTAAGGCTACAAGGCCAGAGCAGAGGAGCCCTGCACCTTGACAGGCAGGCCCACCCTCTGGTGCTGCAACTTGTGCAGCAACCCTGGGCCCTTAGCACGTGGGGAAGCACACAGCCAAACAAAGGCAGGTGCCTATCCAACACTGCCAGCGTGTGAACACATTCACTTGCACTAAACAAAAGCCGGGACATGAGCCAGTGCCCAAACAAGATCCTGGCACATGAAAGGGGAGGACTTTAGCCACGAGGCTGCCGTGCTGGGCCCAATCACTAATGGATTTTAGAAAATCTTCTATCTTCTAAAAGCTACTCAAACATCGACAGTGAATTCCACATGATGTGCTACAATACTGTCAAACCTATAATGGCATTTCTTCCTTGCAGAAGTACATAATGAGTGGCCTCATCATGCACTGGGTACACTGCAGGGATATGAACAGAGCGGGATTCTGCCTCAAAGAATCCCCAACAAGCAGGTAGAAATAACACGAATACCCAATGCATAAAAAGCAAGGTGTTTTTAAAAAAATTTTTTATTTCTTTTATTTGAAAGTCATAGCTACAGATAGAGAAAAAGAAACAAACAGGTTCACTCCCCAGATGGCTACAATGGCCAGAACTGGGCTGTTATGAAGCCAGGCACTTAGCCTAGGGCTCCCACGTGGGTGGCAAAGGCCCACAAACTAGGGCCATCTTCCATTGCTTTCCCATTGCACTAGTGGGGAATTAGATAGGAAGTGGAGCAGTCAGAACATGAACTGGCAGTCAAATGGGATGCCAGTGCTGGCTCTGCCCACTATGCAAGATCATTTTTGATGCTGGTGAGTCTCTCATGGTAACACTGGCAGTTAAATGAAAGCAACCGAGTAGTTGTACAGGGTGCAAGACTAATGGCTCTGAGAGGAGACATCAGGTTGAAACTAGAGGGCACAGGGCAAGGAGTCTGGTAATGCAAAGGAGAGCCCTGTGGGGTCCTGGACACAGAAGGTCAGCCCCCCACGAGGGAAACCCTTCAAATCTGCCAGCCCGGGGAAGCACCAGAATGGCTGAGGAAGGGCAGTGCCAACGCTGCCCTTCGGTTTTTCTAAGAACCATGGTCGGTGACTGATGTATAAGGGACAGATTACAAGGGAGTGAGAACCGTGACACAGAGAAACCGTGTGTGTGTGTGTGTGTGTGTGTGTGTGTGTGTGTGTGTGTGTGTGTGTGTGAGAGAGAGAGAGAGAGAGAGAGACAGAGAGAGAGAGACAGAGAGAGAGAGAAAGTAGGTGGGTGAGTGAATGAGGGCTTCTCACAGAACATATACACCACAAAGAAATACGACCAAAATAAGGTGTCAGGCTTCACAAAGTCTCTAGCAGTTGAACATATTCGACTGAGTAATAGCGGAGCCAGCTGTTCAACAAGCTATTTTCCTTTTCACTGCCTGGACATGCAGCGGGACTACATTTCCCAGCATTCCTCATAATCACGTGCAATTACAGACTCAGTTCTGGCCAATGAACACCAGCCAGAAATAACGAGCCCTGTACTATAGATCCATAAAGCCATCCAGCTCAATGTCCTCCATTCTGGTCCCTGCTGCTCTGCTCGAATCATATGAAAGGAGCTGGGAGATGGCAAGCACGACGCAGGTGTGTTTCACTGAAAACCAATCACTGCAGTAGCAGCGAGCCACACTTCACACAGAACATCGTCTCATTTTTATAAAATGTCAGACAGATTTATCTGACTTTAATACGGCAGTGAAACATAAAATGAAAACAGAAGTTTACCTTGGTGCAAGAACTCTGTTGAAATTACATACATACGCAATCATCCAAATGTTTATGTAAAATGGATGTTATGAAAAGATGACAGGTAGATTTGAAATATTTTCTTCACCCAAATTAATATCTTCTTGAGTTTTATTTTCCATACCACGAGAAAAACTA